CTTTTTTCTTTTTGCTTATGTGGTGCTGAGGAATCGAACCCAGGGCCTCATGCATGCAAGGCAAGTGCTCTACCACTGAGCCACCTTCCCAGCCCCGAGGGAAGTTATTTTTTAAGTCACAATTGAAGCTGAAGCCCAGGAAGTAAACGAGTTAAGAATGCTTTTTAATGCATTAATGACAGGCGTTAGCTACTTAGGAGGCTGAGATCTGAGGATCGCAGTTCAAAGCCAGCCTGGGCAGGAAAGTCTGTGAGACTTATCTCCAGTTAACCACCAGAAAACCCCAAGTGGCGCTGTGGCTCGAGTGGTAGAGTGCTGGCCTGGAGCTGAGGAGTTGAGGGACAGCGCCCAGGCCCAGAGTTCAAGCCCCATGACTGGCACACACACGAAAAGAGAATGCTTTTATGTTCCTTGGTTAGTTTTCAACAAAGATGTAAAAACACTATAAAGCTCATTGCCTTGCTTGACATTCTGAGTTGCTTATGTCATAGAATGTATTTTAAAGCCTTCAAGACGGTTGGCAGTTGGTCTCATAGAACCACAGGGAGAATAATATAATCTTGACATATGTAGATATACCAAACTTATCATATATAGGATATTTTACGATTTGGAGACACCTTGGTTCTTTTCCAAGTAATATCTAAAACTAGTCTTTCCTCAGTCATTGTAACATTTAAACAGAGGGTCAGGCTCCCTGGTTGGAAATAGCATGTTTTATAATTGTGTACTGTTAAGTTCTACAAGGTAAAACTCTACCACATTGGAACAGGAATGACCAGAAGAAGACAAAAGTAAAGAAGAAAACAAGCAATCCGCAGTTCAATGAAATCTTTTATTTTGAGGTAATTTTTTTATTATATATAAATGTTAACATTGATTATTTCTCCCCAACGATGGCCATAGTAATCATTTTACCAACTAACTATTTCTTTCCAGAAAGCAAGAGAATCATTCTGTAATGCAGATAAAACTTACAAAGATTTGATTGATCTGAAAGGAGGGAAATCGAGGGCCGTCCCTGAGCAGTCTTCCCATTGTCACACACTCCCGTCCCTTCCCCGTGCACAGTGACCACACCATGTGCACTTGCTGGGGAAGGAAGTCTTAAGATAGGGCAAGTCTAAGATCTAGTCCCAGTCGACTTTGAATGAACCACTAAATGTGAGGTTCTAATTTCTTAGTTTATAAATGGGTAGATCTTGCAAGGAAAAACAGTAGCAGCCCTACCCAACCCAGGGTTTGTATAGTGTCCGAAGCATGTGAGAGCCCTTTGAGAGTACAAAACTATATGTGTAGAACCTTACTACTACTTTCTCTTTAGTCTAACTCACTCTGTAGATACATGCTTTTTTTTGTTTTTAATGGTCCTAGGGGTTGAACTCTGGGCCTGAGTGCTGTCCCTGAGCTGTTTTGCTCAAGTCAAGTGCTCTACCACTTGGGCCACAGTGCCACTCCTGGCTTTTTTGAGTAGTTTATTGGAGATGAGAACATTGAGTTTACTGCCTGGACTGGCTTTCAACTGTGATCCTCAGATCTCAGCCTCCTGAGTAGTTAGGATTATAGACATGAGCCACTGGCTCCTGTCGAGTGCTTATTAATTTTCAAGGAGCTCTTCAGCTGCCTCAAAGTTGTCCCCAAAATGGTGCTTTAGAGTTTTTTATTTTAGAGTATTTATTAAGTCCTTCAAGATTGTGTAATAGTGGAATGGGTTACAGTTGATATTAACGGATGGAAAAGGTTCGAAAAAAAGGGGTTGCTTTTTATGCTTTTTCTTCATGCATGTTTCCCTTGTTCTTTGACATAGAGAGAACATAGTTATAACTGATTACTGAACTTCAATAAGAGAGTGGAGGCTGAAGAAAATGCCAAAAGTGAAATAGGAAACTGGGGGCGGAAGCAAGGGAGGAAAAAAAAGAAAATGTACCTAAAGTGGCGCTGTGGCTCAAGTGGTAGAGCGCTCGCCTTGAGCTGAAGAACTGAGGGACAGCGCCCAGGCCCAGAGTTCAGGCCCCACGACCGGACCCAAAAAAAAAAAAAGAAAGAAAGAAAATGTACCTAAGTGAGACTTCTCCATTTCCTGACTGCAGACTCAATAAGGTAGTTGTACACTTACTGAGGACTGTTACCTCTCAACTGGAGAAAACAAGGCAGCAGTTCAAAGAGCTGCTGACCCAAGGAGTCACACTTCCTGTTGGTCCACATACTTTTAAACCTCAGATGAAGTGGAATCAGCTAGGCTTTGTTGAGCCTTGTAACAAGGAAGATGGCTTTTTGAAAATCCAGGCCTGACCTGTTTGCTTTACCAAAAGAGCCTGCTAAGCCTTAAAACATTTACTCAGTAGGCCCTTTGTTGATCTGGTCAGGAAGATAGAGAGGGTTCAATGTAGCCAGAGCAAGAGGCAGAAAGCCCACACTCACATCTGTACATGTGGCAGTAAGTGCCCTCGGTACTGCAGCTGAGGTGCTTAGGGAAGGGCTTGCAGGAACTAGATTTTTTTTAATTTACTTTTATTTTTTTTACTGGTCCTGGGGCTAGAATTCAGGGCCTGGGCACTGTCCCTGAGCTGCTTCTGCTCAAGGCTAACACTCTACCATTTGAGCCACAGCACCACTTCCAGCCTTTTCTGAGTAATTTATTGGAGATGAGAGTCTCTTGGGCTTTCCTGCTGGGGCTGGCTTTAAACTGTGATCCTCAGATCTCATCCTCCCGAATAGCTTAGGATTAGAAGAGTGAGCTACCGGGGACTGGGAAGGTGGCTCAGTGGTAGAGTGCTTGCCTTGCATGCATGAAGCCCTGGGTTCGATTCCTCAGCACCACATAAGCAAAAAAGAAAAAAGCCGGAAGTGGCGCTGTGGCTCAAGTGGTAGAGCGCTAACCTTGAGCTGAAGAGCTGAGGGACAGCGCCCAGGCCCAGAGTTCAGGCCCCACGACCGGACCCAAAAAAAAAAAGGAAGAGTGAACTACCAGTGCCCAGCTTAGGTTTCCTTAAGTAAGAGGAAGAGAATATTACAGAGAAGGCATATTTAGGCATAGAGACAGAAATGTTATGGTCAAAGAATAAAAGTAGTGATTTAACTGGGCTTTTAAAAAAAAATAAACTAAGATTGGAAAGATGGAATAGGACCAGCTAATAAAACCCTCCAGTGCCTGGCCAGAGTGCCTTAATTTTCACCATTGAATGTTTTTGCTCCTAGAAGTGCTCAGAGTAAAGCAGTGTTGTGGAAAACATGAGCCCATGATCTGTGGGGCCAGGTGTCTTAGAGAGAACATAAATCAAGAGATGGCTGATGTTTAAAAATAAAGAAAAGAACTTGCTAGGCACTGTGGCTCATGCCTGTCATCCTAGCTACTCAGGAGGCTGAGATCTGAGGATTGCAGTTCAAAGCCAGCCCAGGCAGGAAAGTCCATGTGAGAGACTCTTACCTCCAATGAACCACCAGAAAACCAGAAGTGGCACTATGGCTCAAGTGGTAGAGTGCTCGCCTTGAGCTGAAGAGCTCAGAGACAGTGCTCAGACTCAGACTTCAAGCCCCACGACCAACAAAAAAAAAAAAGAAAAAAAGAAAAGAAAAGACTAGAGTGGGGTCTATCTATGAGAGATATGGAAATAGAGAGGAAGGCAGATAAAGATACTGCAAAAGGCAAGAGAACAAATTGAATGTAGAGGAAAAGGAGAGATGTCCAATGGAAGAATTAGGAAGAAGAAAATGGTTGAGTTTGGGGCACAGTGAACTTAAAATGGAATAGATAAAATCCTCCTTATAGACTGAAATATAAGATATAAGGTTTATTTACAAAGAGTTAGGAAAGCCAAAGGAGTAGAGGGGGAAAGTGAGGAAGCTCAGTTCTGCCAGCCCCGAAGTACTCTGCTTTGTGCATGTCACTTAATCTCTGAACTTGAGCTTCCTCATTTTGAAGAGGAGGACAATAAACTAGCCCTGCCTGGCCCAGCAGCCTTCTGATGAACAGAGACGGTAATGGGATAGTGGCTGTGAGGGCACCGTGTAACCGTACTGCAGAGGGCAGCTCCAACTTAGGTTTTTTAGAACAAACTGAAAGATAGGGAGCCATGGAAGATATGCTTTTTGTTGTTGTTGGTGGTGGTGGTGGTAGTGGATCTTGAACTCAGGGCTTGGGTGCGTCCCTGAGCTCTTCAGCTCAAGGTGAGCACTCTACCACTTGAGCCACAGCGCCACTTGCAGTTTTCTGGTGGTTACTTGGAGATGAGTCTCACAGATGTTCTTGCTGGCTTTGAACCATGACCCTCAGATCTCAGCCTCCTGAGTAGCTAGAATGACAGGAGAGAGCCACTGGCAACCCGGCCTGGATACCCATTTTTGTAGGTTCTGAGGGGGAAAAATATCGGAGCATCAGAAACTTGCCAGGATAATTCCCTGGTAAACCTAGCAAGAAGTGTTCTGAAAAAGGAGCCCAGAGTAGTATATCATTAGGTTAGAGAAAGAGATCGAGGGTAGTAAGAAGTAAGAATTGATCATCAGATTTGGTGATGTAGAGAGAGATCTTAGGTGATCTCTGCAGAAGCCAGATACAAGGAATTACTGCCAGGAGTGGGTGGGGAGGAAGTATAGGCTCTGGGATGAATTATAATTTTAAGATATTTGTCTGAGGGAAAAAAGAGAGAGCTAGGAGGACCATAATTTAAGGGGAGGATTTTTCTTAGACTTGAATGAGTTGAGCAAACTGGTAAAGAAAGCTGTAATTAAAAATAGATTGAACGCTTACTGCATGTTTATTACATACTGTCTCTGGGCGGATAGTCTTAGAAAAAGAGGAAATTCATCTCATCCCATGTTTCACAGGAGGTTGAGGCAGCTCATGGCTGTGCGTTCAGGTGCATGGCAGTCGGGGAAGTTCCTGTTAGTGGCCCTGAGGTTTTCAGCAAACATAAAAGGGAAACGGAAGTAGTATTGGTGTCTTGGGAAATGTGGCAAAGTCTTTAAACCGTTTTTAGCAAGTACAACAACTTCACTGAGATACAGTGTTTTCAGTCCTGTGAATGGCCAGCAGAGAGAGCAGCCTGGTATTGTCTACCTGCCAAGAGGTCGGGAGGCACTGGTTCTGCAGCCAGGATGCTTTTTTTCCATACTCATTTAATAGGGTTTTATGTATGTCTATGCTCTGGTTATTTGTAAGTTTGGTTAAATTGAGACCCCACTCATAAATACTTCATAAATAATTTTCAGCGAGTGATGGCAGTAAAAGGAAACCTACTTAAACTAAACTCAGAAGGCACCTGTTTATAAAAGAAACTTGAAGAAAGCAAATTCTAGTAGACATAAGGGTGTAGGATTCTTTATCCATAAAAAATTTTGTAAGAAAAATTTCCAGTATACTTGAAAGTTGACAAATACATTGTTGAATCCAAAACGTTAGGTGATACGACAAAATTAACAGGACTTAAGAAACAAAAGACTGCCGGGCACTGGTGGCTCACGCCTGTCATCCTAGCTACTCAGGAGGCTGACATCTGAGGATCGCGGTTCAAAGCCAGCCCTGGCAGGAGAGACCGTGAGACTCCTATCTCCAATAAACCACCAGAAAAC